TTTAATAACAAATAAATTATTAATATATAAATAGAAAATTGATGATGAATGTAGACTAGATAAATGTTGATAAAAAAATGTAAAATAGATATAAAATATAATAATAAAATATGAGAGAATAAACTAAGAGAAGGAGTTCTAAGAAACATTGATAAAATGTGAAATATAGGCAAGTAAAAAAGTTCAAAGAGAAAAAAAAACTAGAGGAAGAAAAAAAAGAGAGGATATATTTGATAGATAAAGATTTAAAAGAATGACTAAAACAGAATAATAAAAATAAGAGAATAATGGGAGAATGAATAATAATAAATAAATTACTTATATAAAGATGAAAATTAGATAAAACTTATAATGCAACTATGTATATAAATTTATTATATGTATTACTGAATTGTTTATAATTTTAAGATATTTATATATTATTATAATAGTGAGAATATATAAAATATCTACTAGTAGATAGAAAGAAGAAAATTAGGTAAAAGTATATTTAAAGACAGATAAAGAGGGTTGACTAAGAAAGAATAATATAGAAGGGGCTAAGGATGAAAAGAATAATAATAAATAAATTATTAATATAAAAAGGAAAAATGATGGTAGATATAGTTTAGGGTGATAAATATAATGAGAAAAATTATGGTGGTAAGTTAAGAGCTGGTGTCACAAGAAAAAATAATAAAAGGGGTAAAGGTTTGCAAGTTAAAAAAATATCAATAGAATAATACTAAAAGTTGTACTTTTTATGTTTTAACTTAAAATTAACATGTCTAACATAGATAACGAGAGAGGAAGAAATGGAATAAAAGTGTATCTGTGTGTATATATATATATAGTGATTGATAGAATTGCAAGGAGTGATTAAAAAAGAATACTATAGTGAAAGGATGATGTGAAAAAAATAATAATAAATAAATTATTAATATAGAGAGAAAAAAACAATAGCAAATAAAGGTATATATAGATAGAGTAGGAAACCAATTATATATAAGTCTTACATATCATACTTATACAATATCTCAACCATTTATTTCTTCACTTTCAATAGTTAAGATTCATTCATATTTATTAAAAAAAACTATATTTTTCGCATAAAAAATCATAATAAATCTCAACCATTGAAAATGAAAAAATAAATGGTTGAAATTTTATATAAGTATGATGTATAAAACTTGTGTATAAGTAGATTTCTTCTCATATAAATAAATATAATAATAAAATATATGAAGATAAGCTAAGAGATGAGACA